AACAGATGTATAGTGGGATGTTGAATTCCCTAGATTTCTCGATTATCTGTCTTATATTCAGCAGGTGTTCTCGAGTGCCTCTACCTTTGGTAAATCCAGTTTGCTCTTGTGGAACTTCTCTTTGGAGGAATGTTTTCAGTCTCTCATTGATTATATGTTTCATCCAAAGCTAAATCGATTTCATTAATTGCACATTTCTAGTACTGGTCATAGGCGTACGTTTTGGGTAGATCAACGAATATTTTAAGGCATAAATAAGCAAAATATCCAATTGAAACAAAATTTTATTTAAAAGGTTTTAAAAATAAAGTGTTTAATAAGATGAAACGAAACTTACCTAATAGAACAAGCATCAAAAGTAGATAGTTACAAAAGAGGCTCGATTTAATGACTATTAGTCTATATGTATACATTTGTCTCAGATAAAATAGCTATCTGGAATATAAGAAGTGTGCATCCGCCTGGAAAACTACATAATGTTAAAGAATTAAAAAGAAAGAGAGGCTAATTATAGGCATAATAGGGGTTAGCGATGTACACTGGAGAGAAAATGAAGAAATATCCCACAATATTTATTACACTGGAGGAGACAAAACTGATAATCAATACGGAGTAGCTTTCATCATAAGCAACACTATTAGAAAATCAGTGCTAGGTGTGATGCAAATCTCAGAAAGAATATTAATGCTTAAAATTCAAGCATACAACTGTAATATCAATATGATCCAGGTAAATGCTCCCATAGCTGATAAGACCGAAGATGAGATCAAAAAGTTTCATTCAGATTTGCACAATACAAACAAGTTAACAAAATCTAGAGATATTACTTACATTTTAGGAGATTTTAATGCAAAAATTGGAGAAGGTACAGTTGAAAATATAGTTGGATAGTTCGGATTAGAAACTAGAGACGAGAGAGGAGAAAGGCTCATAGAATTCTGCCAAATAAAGAATATGGTAATTGCCAACACTTGGTTTCAGCTTCCTAAGAGAAGACTGTATTCATGGACGTCTCCAGATACAGAAAACCACATTGTCAGAAAGAAACCAGATAGCCTTTATACTAGTAAATAGCAAATATAAAAACTCTATAACCTCAGATCCGTTAGTTGCTGATGTGAAAATAAAATTAAAAAGAATTGAACTCCGAAAACAACAACTAAAAATTAATATCTTCTTCTTCTTGTGCCGTCTTCTAACGAAGGTTGGCGATCACTTCTTTAAACGATTTTCGATCTTTTGCAACGTGAAATATCTGTTCAACATTGAGGTTAGTCCAATCTCCGATATTCCTCAGCCACGATTTCTTCTTTCTTCCCAAGCCTTTTCTTCCCTCTACTCTACCTTGCATGATGACTTGTAGCAGAGATATTATTTATCGTTTCGGAGTATGTGGCCCAGATACGATGTTTTTCTTATTTTAATTGTGTTCATAAGCTTTCTGCCATGTCCAGCTCGGATTAACACTTCCTCATTTGATACTTTTGCAGTCATATTTTTTAGGGAATTTTTGCAGTCGTATTTTAAAGGAATCTTTAAAATACGCCTATATAGCCACATTTCGAATGCCTCTAATTTTTTTATAGATTGGGCTTTAAGAGTCCAAGCTTTTACCCCATATAGTAGTTGCGACCAAACATAACATTCGACAAACCTCAATCTGATGGCAATACTCAATTTCTTATTTGTAAACAATGACTTGTATTTTATAAAGCCTTTCTAGCTATTTCTATTCTGACCTTTATCTCCTGCTCTTGATCTAACTGTGAGTTTATAATTGTTCCGAGGTATTTATATTTGTCGACTCTCTCTAGGGGTTTACCCTCCAATGTCAGTTGTATGTTGTCAACAGGGTTTTTTGAGATCACCATGTATTTGGTTTAATTTATATTCATTGTTAGTCCCATCGTTTTGCTTTCTCTGTTATTGATTTCCAGGAGAGTTTGTAAATCGTCTATATTCTCTGCAATGATTGCGGTATCGTCTGCAAATCTTATGTTATTAATGATGCTCCCTCCAATCCGTACACCTTCAGTTCTTTCCCATAGTGCCTCTTGAAATATTAGTTGGGAGTACACATTAAATAATTATGGTGACAGCACACATCCCTGTCTGACTCCTCTTTGAATTTCCACCTGATTTGTTTTACTATCTTCCACCCGTACGACCGCTGTTTGATTGTAGTACAGATTTTTGATTAAATTAATATCCTTGCGATCTAGGTGTATGTGTTTCAATGCATGTATGAGTTTACCATGTTGGACTCTATCAAAAGCTTTTTGGAAATCTATATAACATATGAATAAGTTTTTATTATATTCCCTGCATTTTTGTAATAGTACCGTCATTGCGCACAGTGCCTCTCTTGTTCCCATTCCACATCTAAATCCAAACGGTGTATTCTCTAATTGTTCTTCACATTTTTATATATACGCTGCTGAATAACTTTGAGTAGTATTTTTAAAGTGTGGCTCATGAGGCTAATTAATCGGTACTCATCGCAAGATTTAGGATTATTTTTCTTGGGTAAGGGTAAAAAGATAGATTTTAACCATTCATCCGGGATTTGACCATCGTGGTATATTTTATTAAATAATTTACTTAGACACTCTATATTTTTATCATTCAGGATTTTTAATGTCTCTACAGGAATTTCATCGGGACCTGGCGCTTTACCATTTTTTGAGATTTTAATTGCCTGTTTAAGCTTTGATATCAGAATTTTTAGATTTTCATTAGTTAGTAATGTATTATTTATTTCTTCCGTATTATCTGCAAATAAGTCCTTGATGTATTTCTCCCAAGTTTGTTGTTTTTCTACTGCTGATAATTGAAGATCCCCCTTGGAGTTTCGTATAACTTGTGGTATTCTCTTCCGATTATTTCCTGTAATTTCTTTTAGTTTGTTATGTAGCCCATGTGTGTCGTGTTTCATATTAAGTTCTTCTATGGCTCTACAATTTTTTACCATCCAGTGTTCTTTAGCTTCCTGGATCTGCGTTTCTACTAGTTTCTTCATTTGCTTGTACTTCTCTTTATTTGTATTTTTGTATTTTCGTTTTTCTTCTAGGAGGTTTATAATATCTAGTGTCATCCAGTATTTTTTGGCAATTGGTTCTTTTTTACCCACAAACGTTTTACCAACGTTAAGTACTGTCGATTTTATTTCGTTCCTGGCAATATTAATATCTTTTTTCGACGCCTCTGCGAATGCTGATGCAACTGCTTCATTTATTTGTTGTTAACATTTTTCACTCTCAAGCTTTGACAAATCTGGTCTCTGAATTTTCCTTTTTTTCTGTTATTTTCCCAGTTTAATATTAACGTTGGCAAGAAGAAAAATTAACATAATAATGCTAAAATACGAAGAAATAAAAAACGACTTAATTAAAATAAATGAACATATGTATAATATAAAAAATACGTTACTGAAATCAGCTCAAGAAAGTTTGATACAATATAGGTCAGAGGCTAAAAAACAGTGGGTGACAGAAGAAATACTATTACAGATGGAAAAAATAAGGAAATATAAAGAAAAAGATCTACAGAAGTATAAAGAAATACACCTAATAATTAAGGAATAAATCAAAACCGCTAACGAAATCTATTTTTGATGAAACAATGTAAAGAGATAGAGGAACTAGAAACAAAATATGATATGAGAAATATGCACAAAAAAAATAAGAGAAGTAACTGGAAAGGGTCAAAATAGACAGCAAGGACACATAAAAGACACAAAAGGAGTACTAATAATAGATTTACCAGAGAAATTAAGGCGATGGGAGAAGTACGTTAGATAACTTTTCCAAGATAAAAGAGGTGATATACAGAAAATACAAGAATTAAATCTTTTAGAGAGACAGAAGATCGCGATAGATGAAATCAAATATGCTATCAAAAACTGTAAAGACAATAACGCAGCTGGATTAGAGGAAATACCAGTAGAACTGTTAAAAGTAGTTAAAGAGGATAACTTGGAAGTATTGGCAGATTTATTCACACGGTGTAGGATACAGAAATAATACCACAAGAGTGGCTGAAGTCAGAATTTATAACCATCCCTAACAAACAAGCTGCAAAAGAGTGTTCTGATTATCAAATACTGAGCCTCATGTTACTTTAGTAACTGTAATTTCCAGACTTAACATGTCTGGACTCTTATCTGTGGGGAAGATTGAAGGACTTAATGCACCAAACTCGACTAAACACGCGAGACGACATAAAACAGTGCATTATAAACGCAATAAATAGTATATCAACAGCTTAGATTGAAGCAGCTGTTATGTCTGCGCGTAAAAGATTACATCTTTGTGTGGACAACGATGGAAAATAATTTGAACATTTAATTGGACATTAAGTTTTAATGATCGAGATATTCGTATGATCTTTTATCAGTATAAGTCAGCATTTATAACTATCACTAACAAACAAGCTGCAAAATAGTGCTCTGATTATCAAATACTGAGCCTCATGAGTCATACTTTAGTAACTGGATTTCATTGAAACCCTTGCCTGTTGTTTTTAGTAAAACCACAAATAATGTGAGAAATCCTGCCAAGGCAAAAGAAGACGATACATTTGTCATTTTGCTGAGAGCACACCGAATTCGTGCAAAAATTCCAAAGTTACTTCTAAATTCGTTGCAATCATCTTGTATCCTTAGCCAGAGTTGTGCACAATTTTATATCGGATAGCATATAATTATTTCGTAAGGCCAGTATATTTGATTCGCGTGCAAAAATAGTATTAGAGTAAACCACCGGTGGCTCGCTTGGTCGATCTAACAAACATTACTTGTGACCTACATCGTGGCTCTTATGGCTTGATCATAGAAACTTTTGTGTACCACATGTAGCTCACACGAGGTTTGCAGACGTTTAACTGCGAGCCACACCTTGGCTCTTATGACAGTCAATGGGTTAATAAATTACTACCTACTAGGTATAATATTAAATGTATTTTATGTGATTTATTATACTAATTATTTTTACTTGTTTCAGCACAAGATGGTGACATAGCAATATCGCCAGTTTTGGGTATTCTAATAGGAGCAACATTTACGATAATAGTAGTGATACTCATAATTATCATTCGAATTAAAAGATCTCAAAATAATTCTAGCACCGGACTGCATGAACAAAAAGTATCGGTTGGAGCAGGAAACCAACAAAATACCTTGTCCTCAACAAAGCCCTTATTAAGAAGTACTTCACCAAGGGATTTGGACGAAAGGGATCCTGATATTATTCCTGCCAAATACGGTGAGATTGTTTATTTTTAAAAATATTAGCTGACAGTGTAACACTCATTCGCACAAGTTGACCCCACATAACCCAAAACGCAACTTAGTTTATTCGTTTAATAATATACCACACTTTAATAGGGTTTTTAATGTCGTCCACGTTCTAGTAAGAAAAACCAATATTTCCATTTAGAAAAAAAGTTTTCCTGTTTTAAATTTTCTCGAATGTTTGTGTCTTTTCTTTTTTTTTTGTTGCCAATTTCATCATGATTTGAATTAGAATTGAGATTACTGTCAATGATGCAACTTTGATTCTTATCAATTATTATTACTGATATATTGTTATTCTTCCAAACATCTTTATTGTTCTCCAAATTGTGGGTCACTCAGACGCACACAAAAAGGTACGCTATGACATTTTGTTTTATATCAATTACGAAAATACCACTTCATCATTAATATTTTAATACTACCGTATTATATATGACACCGCACGTGCCAAAGATAAATGCACTAATAAATGCACCAGCGTTAATGTGAATGCGATAGCGCTAAGTAGCAGTTCAAGTTTGAATATCTGCAATAACTACTTAACAAGCGGCATCAGGATCGCCATTTAACAAATTTACATGGTTTGATAGAATCGCTATGTATGTAAAGTTGTCGGAGGTGGGTTCTTCTTAATTAAGTAACTAAGGAAGAATTACAGAACATATATTTACTATAGTCGGCTATACTGATAAGAGTGACTTACTCTCAAAAACGAAATTTGACACCATGATATATTGAAGACTTCCACAAAGACTTCCAGCGGCCTCCTTATTACATTATTATTTTACTGAAATATTTTATTCCAATTAAATTCAGGAGGTACCGTTGTCATTTCGTGAATTTCTGATTTCTTCAGGTTTAAAAAATGTCTTTGTTTGATTAAACTAGAATTGATTATAATTAGATATACATTTCACAATAGTTTTAAAGTTTAGATTTCAACACAGAAATCTTCTTTTAAAACAAATAATAATCAAGAAATTATATTAAAATGTAATTTTTTGTCAATTGTCAAGTATTTACAGATTTACATAATTTTTTTTTCTATATTGTTTTTGTAAACGATTTCCGGGGTCATTACAATCCATTTTGGTTTATTTCGATAGAAATACAATTTTTAACGTAAACATGTTACAAAAAATACTTTCAGAACCGTTTACCTCAGGTTTGGCTTACTTTTATTGGAAAATAGATATGTGACGATACGAATAATGATTTTCCATGAATTAATTTCTTTAATCCATTTATTTTGAAAAATGTCATTTCACGTCTCAACCATCTCATAGACACAATAATTAGATGACTTCTACTATAGACAACAAAATATCTGATGAAAATATACGGTGACCTCTGTGAATATCATACTATCATATAATTCTTACTTACACGTTTCTTATATCTTAATAGACATAATATATCATATCATTGCCTAGTGATCTCAACATTGAGGGCTAGAATTTTAAACAGCAGTAAAGAAAATAAAACAAATACAAAAAATTGAAGGTGCAAAAGCTAAGAGATGCGACAATTGCAGAATGGTACTAGGAAAACATCACCAGCAGGCTAAGGAATCAAAATGTAAATGAAGAAAACCAGACAGATATAGACTCCTACTAGACCAGAATAAAGGAAAACATTAAAGCAGTAGCGAAAGATAAGATAGGAACATAAATTTGTGCCCGTAAAAATGATTGGTTTGACGATGAATGCAAGAATGCAACAAAAAAAAATGAAGCCTACAGAAAGCTTCCCGACGAACTACAACAACTGTAGAAAAATAACAGACAAAAAGAAGAGAAGAGAAGAAAGAAGGATTTACAAAAGAAAAAAACGAATCCACCTTAATATGGAACTCAAATATATAGAATACCTTAACAGAGAGAAAGAATTCAAAGCATTTTGCAAGAAAAATCAATAAAAAACTTCAAGGAAACCACAAAATAATGCAGAAGTCAGAATGGCGACCCATTAACAACATGGAAAGATTAGGATCATAATCAAGGAAAGAACATCAGGCATTTAATATGGAGAAAGAAAAAAAAACCTAGAAGACGAAAGAGATGCGGTAAGGGGGGCAGACGAGAGGAGAGAAGAACCACCAAAAATTTTTGAAATTAAAGATGCAGTTAAAAAACTAGCCAGAAACAAATCACCCAGAATAGATAATCTCCCATCTGAACTATATAAAGAAGGTGGCCAAGATACCATTATGATATTACAGCAGCTTTTATAAAAAATCAAGCAATCAGAGCTAACAGAGAAAATCAAACAGCCGAAATATCGAGACGAGTAAGAATGGGATGGGCAGCGTTCGGCAAACTTTCATACGTTCTAAAAAATCAAACAATCCCTCTATACTTACGAAGCAAGGTATATAATTCCTGTATAATACCGGTGCTCACCTACGGAGCACAGACATGGACATTTACACAGGCCAATTTGGATAGGATAAAGAAGTCACAAAGAGCGATGGAAAGACAAATGTTGGGTGTATCACTTAGAGATAGAAAACGTAACCAGTGGATTAGAACCAGAACAAAGACAGTAGACGCCATAGAACAAGCAGCAAAACTGAAATGGAAATGGGCTGGACACAATGAACGTCCCAAAACGGACGATGGAACAATGCCATCGGAAAGTGGCGTCCATACAATGCAAAGAGATCAAGAGACAGACCACAGATGAGGTGGAAAGATTACATCAGGAAACAAGGAGGTCCCACATGGCAGAGAACAGCTCAAGATAGGGAAAGATGGAGAGAACTGGGGGAGACCTATATTCAACAATGGAAGGATAGAGAATAATTTAAAAAATATATATAAAAAATATGGACACAGAAATCTCTTCCCAATAATTTGAATATTGAAATACTTTGCACCATACACAACTGATCCCCAACTCTAACAGCTGCAGTTTGTTCGTAATAGATATTATTTATTATACGGCTAATCTACTATTACAAATAAATATTAAAGGATATAAAATATTGTATATTTTAATTTTATAATACAGCAAGTCTAGTTTTCTATAAAAATCTCGTTTTTATATCTTGTTACGCCTTAGCGCACGGAAATATTATCTCATTTACTTGTACTTTATAATAAAGACCGTTATCGTCGACTTTTGATTTAAAAATGTATGTTATTAGTTCCTTTTTTGTCTACCAGGGTCTCCTGAGGGTGAGTGTGAAAGACAAGTTGGCGCATTAAATGGTCCCCAAGCTCCTTCGGCTACCAGAAATATCCAAAAAGTACAGAACTACGCTCAGTCTAATGTTCCTTCTCCACAGTGGATTAGTCCAGTAACTAATGAACAGGTAAAAGTTTTTCTCGTTTGGAATAAATTATTTTAAAATCAGTGAAATATTTGAAACAGTTGGAATTATATATTTTAATACACAAATATTATCTTATCTGCATGTTTGATAAAATATGCTCAAAAATTAAAAATGTTGTTTTTAGTTATATTGTGTATATTACTAAAAGAGACAAAATTGCTTGTCTTTTTTGTGATAAACATACACAGTATCATTTAAAAACAAATTATTATCTGATCCAAGTATATTTTAAAATATTTTATGCTTTTGTTATTAAATCAATACCAAGTTTTGATGGACTTTCTAGTTTTTGAGGTGCTTAAGATATTTATGGACAGAGAATTTTTTCTTTGTTGTCTTTCTATGCATTTTTTCTCAAATTCGTATTCTTTGTGTATAGGACTTTTTAATGCATAGCTACAATAAAAGGCAAAAATATGACAAATAAATGAAATGAGGTTGAATGCTCGAATAAATGAACTTTGAAAATAAGGCTATTATCGAGCACAAGTTCATTAAATCTAGCCCAAGTACATTCGCTTAAAATAGCATCTTCAGGGGCATTTCGTTAAAATGTGAACTATCCGGCAAGCGTAGATTGTGAAAATATTAAAAATAACATAAATTATACAAAACACTACACTAAAACGAGAACAAACAGTTTAAAATTACTTCTACGCTACATTTTCTGTCAGTATCTGGATGGATAATGATCTAAGCGGAAATGATCATTATCATATACGGTGACATATCAAATTTTTTTTTTGATATGTCACCGTATCATTTCCGCTTAGATCATTATCCATCCAGATACTGACAGAGAATGTAGCGTAGAAGTAATTTTAAACTGTTTGTCCTCGTTTTAGTGTAGTGTTTTGTATAATTTATGTTATTATTAATATTTCCACAATCTACGCTTGCCGGATAGTTCTTATTTTGACGAAATGCCCCTGAAGATGCTATTTTAAGCGAAAGTACTTGGACTAGATTTAGTTAACTTGTGCTCGATAATAGCCTTATTTTCAAAGTAAAAATATGACAGTCGTAATATGAAAATTCTATATCCAAGCCCATACATATAAGAAGAGGCGTTCGACAGGGATGTGTGCTTTTCCCTTTTTTATTTAACATTTATTCGGAAGCCATATTTCAAGAGTCTTTGGAGGATGCAGAGATGGGAATCAAGGTGAATGGAGTATTGATCAACAACATACGATATGCTGATGATGGTGTCTTAATTTGTGACAACATAGTCGATCTTCAACAACTTGTCACTATAATCGGAGAATACAGTAAGCGAATGGGATTAGAGATTATTACCATAAAGACCAAATTCATGATCATCTCCAGAAACTTGGATGCACTTGAAAACTCCACCATAACACTGAATACTAAATCCATTGAAAGGGTGAGTAAATTTAAATACCTGGGATCGTGGCTTTTTGAAGACTGTGCATAGGACAGGGAAGTAAAATGTCGCATTGAGCAAGCTCGACAATCTTTCGTAAAATTTAAGAAGGCACTGACTTGTTCAGAGTTCGATCGTCAACTGGGACTAAGGTTTACTAAGTGCTACGTATGGTCAGTGCTGGTATATGGCGTAGAGGGCTGGACACTCAAAACGAGGGATATAAACAGATTAGAAGCTTTCGGAATGTGGCTTTATCGCCGTAGCCTAAAAATACCATGGACAGCGAAAATCACAAATATAGATGTCCTTAAAAGAATAAACCAAGAACGCCAACTTTTCGAAACCATCAAGAAAAGGAAAACGGCGTATCTAGGTCACATCATGCGAAATGAAAAATACCAGTTCCTCCAACTTATAATCGAGGGTAAAATTGAAGGCAAGAGAGGAATGGGACGCAAGAAAATGTCCTGGCTCCGAAACATAAGGCAATGGACAGGGATTAACGACATACAATATCTGATACATATTGCAAGAAATAGAGAATTAATGGAAAATGTGATCGCTAACATCCATTAGTGGATTTGCATCTGAAGAAGAAGAAGAATATGAAAATTATATCTAATTCATATTAAAATTAAACTTCTAAGGTAAGATATCAAAATACAGAAAGGAGTCCACTAGGGTTGCGTGCTGTCACCAATACTCTTTATTGTCTACAGTGAAGCGATATCTAAAGAAGCACTCACAGATTCAAAAAAATGTTTATCTATCAATGAAGAAGTTTTGAAGGACTTGCGTTTTAAAGTAACAATAACAATGATTTATAGAACGTGATGCAACGGCTTACTGATGCTGTCATGAATCCTCCTCCTCTTCAATTCTAATCCCTTTTTGGATGTGGTAACAACATCAGGCCTAACCCTTGGTTAATTAATATTTTTGTTTGATTTACCCAACGACTTGGAGATCTTTCCCTAGGTCTCTTTTCTTTAACACTTAGTTTTGTGTGTATTATTATGCTAGAATTTTTCTAAATTGTTACCAGTTTCATCATAGCTATTCTAGCAATATTCAACCTTTTACGTATCTCACTGTCACACCCTCCGCCATTTGTTTGGGAACCCCAGGTATATGTAACTATTTACTACTTCAAAGCCCCCAATTTCTTTAATGTGTTAAATAATATTCCGAGCTCTGTCGAATATCATGTTCTTTGTCTCATTTCTATTTATCTTTAGTCCAGATATCTCATTATGTTGTCTCAGTGGTTTACATGGCGCAAGATAGAGAAAGATATAAGCAATTGGGAGAGACCTACATTCATGAGTGGATGCAAACTGGTTGACAAAGAGAGATTTAACAAGCTTATATTTCTCTAGTGTTCTGGCTGTTTTATCTCCTTTTTTGAAAAGTAGAACTAATTCACTTGTACTCCATTTTTGCGGTTTTTTCTGTGTTTTTTAGTTTTATTAATCGATGTTGTTAATTGTTTTGTCATTGATGCTCCACAATATTTCAGTAATTTGTTTGGTGTCCCGTCTTGACCTGCTGCTTTTCTGTTCTTCATCTTTTCAAGTATTTTACGAAGAGAACATCTCAATCCGTACAAAGATAAATTAAGGATAGCTTAGTTTCGTTGCATACAATGCTTCTTGTAGTAAAACAGATCTGTTGAATAATATATTATTAACATTCTCGTAACACTTTAATTTTCAATTGTTAAACTCTGTTAAAAAAAATTTAATCATAAAATAAAATTCAACAATAAAACGATTTTCAAATAATAATTTTCTCTCTGTTAGAAAAAAAATACGGTAGTGATCAGTACGAAACCTATATTGTTGATTCATTTTTATTAGATTACAAGTGAAATTTAAATACTTTTTAAAACAAATCATAGTGAATTTAATTAAAATGAATTTGTAAATAAACTCAAATATCATATATATTTCATAAAATAAATTTCATTTTGCTTGTTATACAATAACATATATGTATTATTTATATGGAATAGAATTGTTGTTTATTATAGCACGTGTGCCTCTAATACGCGCCTGTATTATAAATAAAGCCATTTTTAATTAAGCTCAAGTCTTTATACCAAACAATGTAAACAATATAAATAATATTTATAGACCATGCACTGACCTATATATTATGAAAATAATATATATATAACTAGCTGTCGCTGGCGAAATTATTGTGTCAAGCTATATAAAAATAATGAGGTACCAGCAGAAAATTACTGAGCAGAACCTACTGTCTTACTCGCTGAAGTCAAAGATGCAATTGAATCTCTAAAGAGAAATAAATCCCCAGCATTGATTCAATATCATGTGAAATACTACAGTTACTAGTTAACAAAGGATTACATATCAACCATTCTATCTGTATCGCTCTTTGGAATTCAGGAAAATGGCTATCTGATCTCAATTTATATCACGCCACACAAAAAAGGAACTACTATCAGATGTAAAAACTGCTGCACACTGTCACTACTAACCCATGCTAGTAATAGTACATTATTTACCGGGTAGGAAAAGCTTAACATTCCTGGACGACTGTGAAGATTGCTAAGTCGAGGCGCAAGCCGAGACTTAGCAACACAGAGTCCAGGAATGTGGCTTTTCCTACGAGGTAAACATACTATTTTTCCACAAATCGTTTAAAATTCGACAGATATTGATTGATTTAAAAAAAAAACGCGATAATTTTATTCCCAAATAAATGGTGCTTTGAAATTCCTAATAAAATTACTTGGGTTACTATGGAAACGTATTGAGGTTGAATTGTCAAACTTGACGCTTACACTAACAACTGAACGGAAATATCATTTCCTTACAGTAAGGAAATGACATTTCCTTACAGTAAGGAAGTCCTGACTTTTTCTTCAAGAAATTTTGACAGGAATGTCAAAATTTTCTGGCGATTTGCGGAAAAATATTATTGCATATAATCAAAAACAGATTAGAAACCTATCTACACCATCAAATACCTCTGGAACAAGCGGGGTTTGTAAAGAGTAAAGGTACACGGGAACAAATTCTGAACCTAAGACATCTCATTGAAAAGTCTAAAAAATTTCAAGTACCTGTGATTATATGATTCGGTGAATACCAAAAGTCATTTGATTGTGTAAGTTATTTTAATCTGTGATTCATTTTAATAGAAATAGGCACACCAATGCACCTGGTGACATTTACTGAAAATCTGTATTAGTCGAATTAGCAACAGTACGACTAGATCAGAAGTTCTCAAATAAATTTAAGACCAAGACAGGTTCTAGACAAGGTTTTGTCGTCTGACTTATTTACCATTTATGGAGAACATGTCATGAGAGTGGGTTTAGGTGAATGAGCCGGTGGAGTAATAGTGGCTAGTGAAAAGATCTCCAATTTAAGATTTGCTGATGATACTACACTTATAGCAGCAAAAGAGTAAGAAGTGTTTAATCTCCTGCAAAAAGTTGACGATAGTTTGAAGAAAACAATTGTTTCTGAAAGCATATCGGGGAGAAGATCAAGAAGACGATCACCAACTAGATACTCCGACCAAATAAAAAAATCAGCTGGAAACTCATTCTGCGAAGCTCTCAGAGCAGCTGATGATAGAGACCAATGCAGAAAAATTGGTAAGAATATTAAAAGAAATCACGATCCTTAGTAAGGAGGAAACTCGGACTCGGCGAGGACCCGGCAAACTTTGTACCGCCTGAGAACTAAATAATTAAAAAATGTCTAAAAAATTAACAGAAATAAAACCAAAACATATTCAAACATATTATGCGTGAAAACTAAGACGTGTACAAACTTATTACTTTATAGCTTCCCATAAAATTATTAGACTCTCCGAGATATTATAGAAAACTGATCATTAGCATCCTTTGGAGACCTGTAAACTGATCACCTCAGATAGGTAAACTCATCACCAGCATTCTTGCCACAGGGTGCAAACTTTTTGTTGACCCCTTCGATAGGTCCTCTCGAGCTTTCATCTTGCAGGAGTTGCTGATGACTTGACAACTTAGTTACTAGTTACTAATTATGGGATTTTTAAACCTATTTCACATTTATTAAATCATTTAAAGATCCTTTATAAACGCGTAATTAATATGTAAAAATATTGAATCACTAATTTTTGCAACTAAATAATGCATAAGAAATATATATTTTTTAGTCACTCTCACGAAACTTCGATTTATACGCAACTGTTTTTAAGATATTAATTTTCTTATCCTTAATGCAATTAAAATGCAGAAAATTTAACCAACAATCAAACCGAATTAATTAACCTTTCAGTTGTGTATCAGTAGTCACACCCGTTCTACTATACCGGTCATAAAAATAGTCCCCTGGATGATTTTTGTTTTAATCTCAATAAAACAATCTATCGTTTGTAGTTTTTTGTTTTACATTATTTGGTATTATTGACATACTTTGTTTATTTAGAATGTTTATTTACGTAGTACAACAGTACGTAGTTTGATTTATCGTCCAAAAACTTTTCACTTCAAGTTCTGACATTCTTAGGGGCAATATGCTTAGCCCATTTTGTTATCTTTGTCCAAAAAATAAGAACGAATGGCAAAATCTGTCTCATCATCTAGTTTCCCATTTTCATATTCCGTATCGCTTCCCTCCAAGTTTTCTTCTAAATGATCTTCAGATTCCTCTTCATCGTCATACTCATCACCTGTCGAAACTTCTTCAAAAAGTACTAACAATCTTTATCGCTTTTTTTTACAATCCATAATATCTAAAAAATAATGTTTTATTATAAAACACTTACTAATAAGTCACAAGATTCTATTACTTTTCTAGACGCACAAGGTACACTGCACCGGTTTTACAAATTAGAAACTTACAGTTCGATACTCAAATCTGCAATGATACATGGTCGCTAAATGTTACTATCAAAAGAATGTACAGAGCCGGAGAAACTCGAAAGCTTTAGATGTCTTGTCTGCCACTAGTCACCAAGACAAGCTGCGTCTACTGATAAAATATGTGCCTACTGTAAAACTGTCATTAAAAAGTGTAAGTGCTACGTTGATTATCCTTTCAAATACTCAAACTTTAGTGGTTTACAAACATTTTATGGTTTTTAACTACAACATGGTGTACCTTGAAGTCAGAGCATGAAGTTGGGGTGTCTCCATTGTAAAAATGACGTGCACCCTATCCTCCATGTCTATGCTCCCAGTGCAGACAAAGAGGAGGAAGAAGCAATTGAGTTCTATCAGAACATAAACAGTAGCATACAGAAAATTCGTCGACAGAAAGTTCTCATCATTATGGGCGATTTTAATGCCAACATTGAAGCTGAAGATAGAACATAGTACATTGGAGCACATGGACTTGGAGTCAGAAACGAGAGAGGAGACCTCCTAGAAAAATTCGCAGAATACTCAGAACTAGTTGACACTAACACTATTCCAATTGCCACCTCGCAAGCTGTACACGTGGAAATCCTCTCAAGACAGACCCGAAAGAATTATTAGGAATCAAATAGACTACATTTTAGTAAATAAAAGATTCCGAAAGAGCTTTACATCTGTCAAGACTTATCCTGAAGCATATTTTGGAGACAGACCACGTTCCACTGGTGGGAGTATTTCGAGTCAAACTCAAAACAGTGCAGAAAAAGATAAAGATTGCCATGATGATCACCAACATTCGTAACGGATAGGCTCATCAAGAAGAAGAACATGGTGTAGGTAGACCAGTTATCACTAGTTCGCAAATTTCTCTGCTGCATTTGTTGTCCCTTTTAATGTTTGCCATCATCTTTTTGTAAAGCGGTTGAAAATATATTTTTTCTTGCCTTTTTTTTGCTAAAATAATTAAATAAATCTTGTTATTTCGATGGGTTTTTGTATTAACTCCTAGGTGCTAATAAGGCTTAAATTAATTACACCTAAAACAAACTAAATTAGGTTTGATTTTATATCAGAACTACAAACAATCTAATTTTTTAATCTCAAAATGTCTCCATTTTTTACTTTTATTAACTGAGTTTACATATTTCTATTATTATTTACACTAAAATCTTTTATTTATAAATATAAGATTTTTATGTTTTAGTATCACCAGTATAACAATCCTGTGGCTATGGTAAGTGGAACGTTTCCTCGAGAATCTAGACCAAAAGATCTTCGGTTGGGCAATGGAAGTTCCACTCTTCATGGAGTTACAGATTTGGAGCTAAATGGCATGGCCATTAAAGAAAGACTGATGGCAAATCGTCTACCAGAAAGTTGTGTTTAAGTGGATCGGTATTTAAGTATAGGATAAAAAATAGTTTGTGTGCAAATAATGGTTGGCTTACCGTCCATGAGTTAGGTTAAATACATATGGAAATATTCGACTACCTAAGTAAAAAGTAATGAAATATTAATAGTAACGTTTTATTACTCTTTAGTAATCTCATCAAATTTGATAGAGACGATATGATTTTATTTCGATTTCTCGTTAACTCTTTGAGGAGAAAAACTTTTTTTACGTCGTCAAAAGCTTATATTCAGTAAAACAATATTATAAGTAGAGTCATACTGTGTTCTTTTCTTTGACGAAGCACTTGCTTGATTTTTTAACCAAATGACCATTGCGGTCCCAACGACTTTGAAAATTTCACTGGTTGAAAAATCAACCACTTGTTCAATTTGTTAAGGACATTGTGTTACTAAATACAAAACTAATTTAGATAATTTTTTATTTAAAAGAAAATTATAAATGTAAATGTGTAAAACATTCCAAACAAAGGGTAACATCACATTTTTTGCATATCATGTAAAATCGCTTTAACTTCTTTCCTGTGCTACAGAAAGCACATCGCCAAGAGGTACCTTTTACAGCTAAATGTTAACCAACCATCAAACTTCTAACTACAGGATCAGTAGACACCTTTCGTCTTTCAATATTGTTTAGTTTAAGAAATGTTGTCGCTACAAAACCCCTTCGTTTTCTACTAGAAGAATTATTTGTAAACTCATTGGCAAAAAACCTGCGGTATGCCAAATGTGACATGGGCTTGCGTAAATTTCTTTTCGTTCCAAGAATATACAATATATAACTGTTTACTGCTGTAGCATTAAGGATGTGGTACAATAGTTTCATCCACCATTTTCCGGATTTCCAAGAGATATCATCTGAGCAAGATAGCATCTGATCGAATCTGTCGGCGCCTCTCATAAACCGATTGTAATTACAAACTGATATTAGGCATTCAATGTCTACCCGTACTCCAGCTTTATTAGTACGCTTTACAGTTCCTTTTTCAGCAGGATTATGCATATTGCTGAACACCACCACACATTTTTTTCTCTATCTATCCATTTTACCGCAGATATGTCTCCAGTTTGGGCATAGTCGAAATCTCCAAGTTTTCTATCTTTGACATTTCGTAAAAACTCTTTTGGCTATGATTTTTGATTAATTCTAAATGTCCCTCAGCCAAACGATTGTCGTTTGTATAGTGTTTGTGGAAGAGAAATACTGCTAGAAAAATTATTGAAGTAAAAGCAATAACTTTAATTCAACACGTCTGTTAAAATGCCTAAAACAACCCTTTTTCGTAATGTGTAATTGTTGTGCTTAGTATACTTACCTTGGTACGCTTCAAACGAATACATATATCCCATTTCAGCACATGCAGCATCCCAAACTTTGAAAACTCGCTTAGTTAGTTTTAGAGGCATCTATGATTGCTTCAAGCTTGACATACCTTTGAAGACAACCATACTTTCATCAATGGAAATATTTGTAGAAGGCACATAATTATGTTTGAAACTATTATTAATATTATCATTCAGTGGAGGTATAGTGGGAAGAGAGTTTGGCCTAAACATAAAGTGTTTAAAAATAAAACACATGGTGTTAGCCGTTTAGCACATCAAGACGCACGATTATATGTTGATGGTCATAAAATTTAAAGAGTGTACAGTTTTAATTATCTTGGTTGCCATATTACTGAACAACTAGATCCAGATCAAGAGATAAAATGTAGAATCGAAATAGCCCGCACGACATTTTTTAAAATGAGGTCATTCTTCTGTAATGATAACTTGCAACTTCAACTTCGAAAGCGCATAGTTAAATGCTACATTTGGTCAGTCCTCTTATACGGTGTCGAAGCATGGACATTAAAAATATCCACCAATAATCGTCTGGCCTTTGAAACGTGGCTGCACCAAAAAATTCCATGCACGGCTATGCTGACAAATGGGGCAGTCCTTGAGAGAGCAAATGCTGCTCGCGAGCTGCTTGATAACATCAAATGTAGAAAGATAACATATTTTGGACACGTAATAAGGGAAGACCGATATAATATTCTTCAACTTATTATGATGGGTAAAATCAAAGGATGCAGAGGAATTGGTAGAAAGTAGGCCTCTTGGTTGAAAAATATCAGGGAGTGGACAGGAATAAGAAAAGCTGAGCAACTCTTTAGAATAGCTCCAGACAGAGACAGTTTCGCCATGTTAATCGCCAACGTCAACGGGACTTGATAGGGCAAGTTAAGAAGAAGGATGTATTTTGTATATTTTGTCAAAATTGGTTTCCCTCCATAAATTCTCTCTACCCTAAAATTTTCATCACTTAACCAGTATATTTTAAAAGTGAATAAGAAATAAAATCTCATTATGACGTGCACCCCAAAAATACATTGAGCTCCTGAACGTTCAAATTTAGTATCATCCCATGCTGCTGGGCATATAAATTAGACTGTTCTACTATGTGCTGCAGCATATTTTGACCAAAAAGTTGGTGAAAAATTGACATCGGTGAGTCAAGGTTAACTAATGTAGTACCCCCACTTCGTTCATAAAATGCAGTTTTAAAAACGTTGTTTAAACTTCTTGTAACTGTGATTTTTACATACTTTTGTTCAATACGGTAGCATTGCTAATATCTAACTCTCTAGCAACGCTTTTACTTAAACGTGTTGAATCTACCTTCAGCAATAGTTCCCGAGATACTTTAAAATGCTCTCTCGTCGCCGAGTCTACGCCGAACGTTTACCTGCTAAACCAGACCCTCCTCTATCATCCAGCGATCCGGAAGCAGAATGGCTTCACTTCCGAAGCACTACCTTCAGTTATGTATTCTCTATTCATTCACATTCACACTCCATTCATCAGCAAGAAGGCTCCTTGCCCCGTTCCAGGTAGCGCGTAAAAGACCCCCATCGCTCCTAGTACAGCATCATTCCCAGACGGACATTTCCTTCTTTCCCACAGTGTGACTCACGCATTTTAACTCATACAGTCTGACTCACTTTGCTAGCTTCCACTTCCAGCAACTTTCACTCTTATCCTTGCCGTTAGTCTTTCTTTCAATCTTTACAAAAACCAAATTGCCTCCGAGATAAACCACCCGACCTCTCAATCATGTCGTCTATGCGTACTTTTAGCAGCATTATTTCATAAAGCTTACTGATGCATGAAAGAAGACAGATGGGGCGATACTTTTTCCTACCCTTGGGGTGTAGTACTAACCTCAATATTTTTCAAGGCTCAGGAAAGGTTTGTGCTTCCAGCGGTGCATTCATGTGTTCCAGAAGCCAGGCAGGCTCCTCCCGTTGAATCTACGTCGTTTGTTGCAAAAATTTGTATACCCCGGTATTCTCTTGCCCCAAATTTTTCTAATGACACGTCTTGAGCGTGACATTTTCTTCATTTCCAAGGCAATAACAACTCTCAAAAGTTTTAATAATATTATGAATTGACTGTATGCAAGGAATTGGTCTCCCCTCAAAAAAACACAGAAAATAGTATATCTAATTTAAAACTTAATATCTACAATATATAAAAACAAATTACCAATATTTATTTCTTTAAGAACAATTTAAATGAAAATCATAACTTATCTAAACTACCGTTTCGTTCTATTTAAGAGGCTAGCTAGCGCTTGTCAGGAATTCAAACAAATCCCTTATGCAGTGCTTACTTAAAAAACTTACGGACAGCAAATAAAACACTAAACAAGAACTAAATTAAAAGCAATTAAATTCTTAATTGGTTTTAAGTTTCACCTCATCTTCTTAAGTTCTAGAAGTTTAGTGCATTGAAAAGTTTTCTCAGTTTTTTCTACGGAACTTTTCCAATGTTTTTTATTACACTTTCCTTTACTTACAAAGTCTGGGAATGGAGTAAAGGACTGCTTAAAATTCTAGTAACCAACTTCTACCTATTACTTTAAAAGCAAAAAAACAAAGAACTTTTTTCTTCATTCATTGTCATTATAGTTTAGTGCATAGGTGCTTTACGTGGTTTGTAATTATATTTTTATCACTTTTTTGATCGTTCGTATAGATATATGGAAGAAAAGAACACTATAAAACACTTTTTTTAATTATTTCTGCAAATTTGGGGGACAAAGTTGTTAAAACACTTTAGAAACGTTTTAATAAACACTACAAACTATTTTATATTATAATACTACAAATTATATATTGTAGATACATACACTGCATTACGACGTTTGTCCTTTTAGATTTGCATATAGCTGCTAAGAGGGCGCTATTAATAAAACTTTCCTATACAAATATAACCTCAATTTTTTGTTGACATAAATTGGGAGTTTCGTTACAAATAAGTCATGTAGATATAGTAAATTTTTAAAATTGGCAAGTCGGTAGAAAAATTGATCTTATTCAGTTATGATCAGTTCTTTAGTTAATTAAGGATGATTTCCATGTAACATACTTAAAGATAGGGGCCTCTTTGGGCACTTAAAAGACCTTGCTTCAAAAAATTTTACATGAAGAACTGGATGTTACAAAGCGGGTTTTCCGTTGAATATCTTATTTTTTCACACAAGAGCAAAAAACTGTTCGCGTCAATTGGTGTCGAAAAACAGTGAAACTTTTTTACAAGGTTCAGGCAATGTTTGTAGTATTATTTTTTTTAACCTATTCTCTATCCTTCCATTGTTGGATATAGGTCTCCCCCAGTTCTCTCCATCTTTCCCTATCTTGAGCTGTTCTCTGCCATGTGGGACCTCCCTGTTTCCTGATGTCATCTTTCCACCTCATCTGTGGTCTGCCTCTTGATCTCTTTGCATTGTATGGACACCATTTTCTGATGGAATTGTTCCATCGTCCGTCTTGGAGACGTTCATTATGTCCAGCCCATTTCCATTTCAGTTTTGCTGCTTGTTCTATCGCGTCTACTGTCTTTGTTCTGGTTCTGATCCACTGATTACGTTTTTTATCTCTAAGTGATACACCCAACATTTGTCTCTCCATCGCTCCTTGTGCCTTCCTT